TTAGTAAGTATAGATCTTATTCAAGCATAATTTGAAACTTTAAGTAGGCTTTTGTACTAATGACATAAGATCAACAAGCTACAAAGCTTTAATGCTTTAATCAGGCTCTGTTTTAGCTAAGTAGTTATTTCCACTGGGATGAAATATCTCTTATGGAGGCATACTCTCCACTCTCTGAGATGCACTTAGGAACACAGCAAGCTCGTTGAATGTAATTGTCCAAGAGAATCGATTAGTAAGTAGGAAGTGCTTTTACACACCTTGATTTGCTTCCCCATGTTGCAGCAAAATGTAATCCATTTTCAAAACGGTAAAATGTTAATGTTAAACCTGAAGGTCCGTCACTAATCCCAAATCCTGCTTCTCACGTCAGGCTTCTGCTAATCTCATAAACAAACCCCTTGCAAAGATCTCCTTCTCCCTCCTTTGGCCCCAAACTGACCCTTTTTTCAAAGCTGTTTATTCCTCAAGACACATACAGTGCCTTGCAAAGCATTTATGAATCTTTCAACATTTTGTCATGTTACAACCACAAACAATAAAAATGTATTTGAATGCACTAAGACAAAGAGGTAAATGGCAACCAGTACTTCTGCTTAAGTTACAGTGGTGCCTCTTCTCAGCTTTTCTCAGTCAGACACTGCGGTCTTCCCAATCTTCTTAACACAAAAGCTCAAGTTCAATCTAATTGGATGCATTTTTTCAAGTCACTGGATATATTCTCAATTGGTCCTATGTCTGAACTTTGACTCAGCCATTTCAGAGCCTGGCACACAGTGGAAAATGGATTGAACTTTTCTCCATAAGAACCTAAGATAGGCTGTTCACACACAGCCTGCTTCACACACAGCTTGTCTACAACTTTATCCCCGTCCTTTTTGTCCTTTATCTTCCTGATGCCGTTTCTTCACTAATGTTCTTTAACAAACCACTCAAGAGCTTCACAAAGCATTGAAACAGCTATTACATTTACTCATAAGTGGGCTCTGTTTAGTAATTGCTTTATTGCAATGGATTTCATTTAGGGGTACTGGAGTAAAAGATTTTAAACAGTAATGACTGAATGACTGAATAGACGCTCTATTCTGTCATTAATTTGTAAAGAGATATCAAAAACTAAATATAAAATTTTAACTTCTAATTTACATTTATTCACCACTTTGTGTTAATCTATACCAAGAAGTCTTACTAAAATACATTGTAGTTTGTGGTTATAACATGACAAAACACCATAAAGTTTGTGAGGTTTGGATATTTTGTGAAGGATACTGTTTAAGACATATTTGTTATTAAGTTTATATTTTTATACACACACACACACACACACCCCCCCCCCCCACACACACACACACACATATATATATATATATATATATATATATATATATATATACCTTTACAGACAAGAAAATTTAACGGTTTAGTTTCAGTTCTTCTGGATAAAAGAAAAAGACAAGGACAATATGGATGAACTACAGTGATTACATTTACTGCCACAATGTTGAAGGCAATGGGATAAGTCCTCAAATTTGTTTTAATTGTGCTGAAAACCTCCAGATTTTCATGATTAATTCTCAGTGTCATAATATAACATCTACCTGCTTTCAGGGTGAGCTTGTCCCTTTGCCCAGAGGTAATCAACAGGTGAGCAGCCACATCGTTGTTCCTGTTTGAATTGTGTTGCGTCCCTATAGAGTTTGAGTGTCTCATCCATCATCAGTTCACACAAAGAACAGAGTCACTGTTGCCTTAGATGGAAGTAAGAGACCACAGGAAGAAAAACAGAAAGCTTCAGGGATCCATGGAGAAGCAGAAGGACACAAAGGCTGCCGACAATACAGAGAAAACATGACAGACACAGGTGGATTATATGAATGAAGTGTCCAAAGACTGAGAATGGGATTTATAAAGTTTTTTTTTTTGGTAGGTTTTGAAGGACCATTCAGATATCTAGTTCCCACTTCTGCTTGTTTTATCTTTACACTGAGTTTTGGAGTTTTCTCATGTACCAAGGATAACATAAGACACGCAGAGTTAGTGGTGAACTGGTGAGCATGAGCAGAAGAACATCGAAAAAGAAGAGCAACAATAGGAAAAGAAAGGCTTTGCTCAAGGCTTTAAAAAGAACAACAAATAATCAATGTCCTGTCTCTCTTTGCACTTTGACAGATGAGGGTCACCTCCTCTGCTGGGCTCAACTCTGACGGCACATCTTTACATTTGTTCACTTCCACACTGGAAGAGGCAAAGGATACAGTAAACCTAAATAGAGTCGCCGAGTCACCCCTTCAACAAAATTAGACTCACTTTTAATTTGGTTCTTCATCCATGGGGAAAAACATTTAAGACTCAAAAAGCATTACTGAGCATCTCAAAACTAATTAATGTTTCTGATAAAAGGTCAGGATGATGACTGGATTAAAAGGAGCGTACCAGAGAGGCTGCAAAAGGAGTTGAGTTGAATATAAAGTCAAAGACCATCATTCTGAATCTTTAAATAGAAGAACAAATGAAGTTAATAATTATTTACATTAACAGGGTTAATAATCTAGTTAGCATTTTTGCGCTACATGGTGGTACAATTCATTTGCTGCGTTCAAATGTGTTTTCTCCTAACATGTACGGGTTTCTCTGGGTACTCTGCCTTTTCTACACTTCTTAAAAATGCATTACGTTGACTGTCCCTCCGCTCTAAACTGCCCTCAGGTGTTAGCATAAACCTGAGTGTGTGGATCCATGGTTATTTGTCCTGTGTTGCTCTGGGGTACCCGGTAGTGGACTGGCTACCTGTCCAGGGAGCCCCACGCCTCCCATTCAATAACTAGTAGAAGCACAACCCTGCAAGCATTCAGCTGATATAAAAAATAGATGGAAATGCACAAGAAGAGAAATAAGAAAGAGATACAGAGTACAACCTCAGCATATGTTCAGAAACACAAGCTGCTACTTCACCCACCAAATTTCTTAAAAAAAAGAAGAAAAAAAACATTTATGACCTAGATAAACATCAATAAATGTGTCTGCTTTCTTTGAACAAACATTTATCAAAGAGTAGCTGATGCAAAATATAAAACTGATCTGTAGTTTGTTTTAAAATTTATGGCTCCCATTGGAAATTTGAGTGCTTCCAGCTGGGAGGGACCACCAATCAAAAACCTGTTCTGATGACAGCGTTTTACATCATTGCTCTGTGCGATAACTTCAAAGCTAAAAAAAAAATGGTACTTGCAGTTTTGACAAAATATTTCACACTCATCCAGATGATATGAACTTAAAAAGTAAAAAAAAAAAAAAAAAAAGAAAGAAAACCAAACCACTGCATGCACTTTTTTTCCCTTTCCATTAAAAAAGGCCTCATTGTAGGAGAGTCAGAAACTTGTCTGACTGCAGTTCTGAAATTACCCCCACTGAGAATACGGAGAAGTCAATGAACCATAGTTTACCAGAAATGTAGAGTCCAAAAAAGAATTTATTTTACTTTTAAAACTACATCAGGAATGTTCCTCAACTTCTATGAGTAAACACTGTCAGAAACCTGCTGAAAGAGTGACACAATCAAGCTGTAAATTTCCTCCTATTTTGACCTACTTGAACTAAATCAGCAGAGTCATCTTTATATTCAACTCACCTGTTTTGATAAAAAAAAAAAAAAACATGTACTGTTGAAATAAATCCATGATTAAAACAAAGAACGATTTTCTTCATGGTATATTGCTTTCAAAAGATGAACATTTCTCACGCATAAAGTGACCTTTTCACTTCATGCCTGTGACTTTAATATACCCATAAAGATGACGCACGGCTTGCTGAACACGTAATGCTGGTTACCTGAGAGCCAGCAAATAATTTTAATGAATGTCAGCAATAATGACATGCACACCCAAAAAAAACAAAAAAAAAAACAAGCACCAATTAGTAACATTGTACTTCCTGATGGAAGGAGAAGCCAGGAGTCCTCTCTGCAGGAGCGACCAAAGCTACAGGTGATCAGTCTCCAGCTGTCCTAAGCCATGTCAGACACTCTGTGCTTCACCTTCATTAAAATTCATAATTCACTGGGTGGCCTCATTACTACAGCGGCTTCCTCACCTATTGGTACCCCTGCTAAACAGGTTTAAAACGCCTTAAAGCAAAATGTCACACTGACTATTAAAAAGAAAAAGAACCTTCAGTTTAAGTACATTCATGGTTCCGCAATTGGATGATTCTTTAACAATTACTATTTTAGGGGGCGCTGCTGAGCACCGACCATGTAGGACGTGCTTTACTGGAGCTCCGATGGGATATGTGTTATAATGTACATTTTTGCTCCCCCCCTATACACTTTTCTGGAATAGACTGGACTATTGGTGAATGAAAATTCATATCTGGTGTGCGGCTCGTAAAAGGTGGAGCTAAACATGAGGAAAAACGACAAGGCTACTCGCGGCAGGGCTGACCACGAGGCTCCGGCTGACCCAGATGCTAATAGCATGCTGCTAACCAAGATGCAGGAGATGCTGAACGACTCACGCACTGATCTCATCAACAGGTTTGAGAACATTGTTTCGAACGTCGTTAAGAGGGAGATATCAGCTGCTGTGACACCGTTAGAGGCTAAAATTGCCTCGTTTGGGAACACTATTCAGGATTTGGAGAGGTCCGCCAGCGATCAGGACGGGAGGCTGGCTGCCCTAGAGGCCTCGGTCAACTCGCTAAATGTGTTAGTGGACACGTTGTCCAAGAAATGTGAAGACTTGGAGGGTCATTCCAGGCTAAACAACATCCGCCTTGTGGGTGTACCGGAGGGATCCGAAGGTCAACAGCCAACGAAGTTTGCATCAACGTTGCTTCAGGATTTACTCGGCCTTGATGCTAAGCCTGCCCTTGACCGGGCTCATCGCACATTGCGGGCCGGGCCGGCAGAGGGGCAGCCACCGCGCCCGTTCGTTATCCGTGTCACCCTGNATGATGGGTTTGACTGATTTTACCCACATGCAAGAACACCAAGAGAGAGAATGTAAAAATGAATGATTTATTTACAACGGCAACAGATAAAGAAACTGGTCCAGGGACTGCTCGGCTGCTCTCGGAGCACTGAGGAGATAAGGGGACGGAGGTGAGTTCAGGTGCCGGGAAATGGGAGTTGTGAATGAGTTCGGATAAACTTACTGGCTTGTGTGTACGAAAACGGCTTGGAGGGGAATAACTGGTGGGAGGAAGATGTGGCGTTGGAGGGGGGACAGGACGGCTTATCTTTGAAGGCGGCAGGGTGTGGGTGGAACGGCCGGTCGGAAGCTTCAGACTTGCAGGGAACCAGAAAACAGATGACCAGACTTGGATGGATCCTGTGGGGAGCAGGGAAAAAAAAATCCACAATTAGGAACGCGTCGAGATACGGGAATAACTGGCAGATTTCACACAAAGAAACTTGGAGCAGAACTCCGAGGGGCTGGAGGTACCATCAACGGTGACACTCTGGCGTCGAAGTACTGGCGTTCCACCCTTCTTATGCTGCCGCCAATTACCCGATCAGCCTCCGGTGTGAGAGTGATGTCATCCCAGAAAGTGCAGTCCGCACCTCTAACTCCATCTAGTGGGGAGACAGCTGAGCCACCCAAAACCTAACAGTACCCCCCCCTCAACGGTCGCCACCTGGCGGCCGAGAAGAGCAAGAAGGAATAGAGGACAGATAATCCGAAATCATGGTTGGGTCCAAAATAAAGGAGCCAGGGACCCACATGCGATCCTCCGGACCGTAGCCCTCCCAATCAACGAGATACTGCCAACCACGACCTCGCCGACGGGAGTACACAATCAGGCGGACAGTGTAGGCGGGATGGCCGTCGATATCTCGGGGGGGAGGCGGAGACTCAGGAGGGGAAAGGTCGCTGGTCTGAACAGCCTTCAACTGAGAGACATGAAAAGTGGGATGGATGCGGAGTGAGGCTGGAAGACGGAGGCGAACGGCAGACGGACTGAGAACTGACTCCACCTCGAAAGGACCGATAAACCTGGGGGAAAGCTTCTTAGACATGGATTTGAGTGCAATATCATGAGTCGACAGCCAACCCCTTTGTCCGGGGTTGTAGGCGGGCGCGGGGAGCCGCCTGCGGTCAGCAAACCTCTTATTGCGGAGGGAAGTATTATTAAGGGCGTCGGTGGCGAGTCTCCAGATGTTCTTACAGCGGCGGATGTGATGTTGAACGGATGTTACAGGGATGGAAGATTCGTCAGAAGAAAGCAGCGGCGGCTGATAACCTATGGAGGCTTCAAACGGAGACAGACCAGTGGCAACAGAAACGTGACAGTTGTGTGCATACTCCACCCATGGCAGGAACCGACTCCAATCTGACGGGTTGGCGGAGGTGAAACAGCGAAGAGCAGACTCAAGTTCTTGGTTGAGCCTCTCCACTTGACCGTTAGTCTGAGGATGATAGCCAGATGTTAGCGTGACCTTAGCATTGAGTGCGGAGCAAAACTGCTTCCAGATGCGGGAGACAAACTGCGGGCCCCTGTCTGATAAAATCTCCACTGGAGAACCATGAAGACGGAACACATGTTTCACCAGGAGCTGGGCAGTCTGGTAGGCCGTGGGGAGTTTTCTGAGGGCAACCAGGTGACAGGCCTTGGAAAAACGGTCAATGATGGAGAGAATAGTTGTCATACCTTTGGAGGGGGGGAGGCCGGTAACGAAATCAATGGCAATATGTGACCACGGACGTCTCGGGATGGACAGAGGCTGGAGTAGACCAGCAGGGGGTTGGTGGGTGGGTTTATTTCTAGCACAGACTGTACATGCTTGAACAAACTCCTTGACATCCTTATGGAGAGATGCCCACCAGAACCTGCGGTTAACAAGAGCAATAGTTCGGCTCGTACCTGGGTGTGCAGAAAACTTGGAAGCGTGGATCCATTGAAGAAAACGGGCTCGGACGGACGAAGGAACGTAAATCCTCCCGGGGGGACAATTCTCCGGAATGAGCTCCGACTGCTGGGCCTGCCTAATGATGTCCTCCATCTCCCAGGATACTGCCGCCACTGTACAGCTAGGAGGTAGGATACCTGTCGGGGTCCTTTCAGAGTCCTCAGGTGCATAAAGACGGGATAGCGCATCAGGCTTAGTGTTGCGAGAACCTGGGCGGTAAGAAATGGAAAGGTTAAATCTCGAAAAAAAAAGGGACCAGCGAG